GTGTAATTAATGCATCAGATGTCATGGACTTGGAGCACAGATATTTGGCTGTCAAAGAGCTGCTCACCGTGATTTAAACAACTGACATGACACGAGTGAGACACACACACGCACACACACACAAACACACAGAAATCTGCATAACCAAACTGAACCATCATGTCTTCATCCACACTGTCACAGCTACAGAATACACACCGATCGAGAACACACACACACAGAGACTGATGTGCAGCCTGTAATCTTCATGACAAATAACATGTCTATAATTACAGAGCATGTGTTCTCTGCAGTCGCTAAAAAAGATCCTGAGACGATTCCTTCAGCTGTCAGCTCTGCTCATCTGTGTGTGAAATGTGATCTTAAAAAACAAAAAAAAAACGACTTTCTTTGTGACTCGTTGATAATAATGTGTTAAGTTACATCCTTGTATCTCTCCATTTTTCTAAAGTATTCCAATATTGATCCTAGTTTGAGCACGTTTCTGCTTGTGGAGCTTATTAGAAACATGCAGAGGCTTTTTAGGTCGGGTACAATCACTTCTATCTGAACCAGTTCTCTTGCCCGCTTCCATCGCTGCAACACCTGTTGGTTTGACCTGATAACTGCTCTCATGTCTGGCAAACCGAGGGGCGTCCAAAACGGCCGTGTGGGGGGTGTCTTAAAACCGCCTACCTTCTCTGGTCCAAACAAATCCAGAGCATTCAGGACCAGAATCTAAAGTTAGAAGGAGGACATACTGGCTGCTGCATTGTTGTCAGAGAAGCCAGCACTTCAACATAGCATGTTTCCTTAATGTTGATCATATAGTAAGATCACTTCATCATTTCACTCACTACACAGCTTACTGATTGGTCCTTTAATCTCAGATGTGAATGTCAACACAGTTAGGAATTAACTGTGAGATGAAGGTTAAATAAAGGTTTGTCTTCAGCTTCTGTCTGACTGACCTGAACGACCTCGACCCCTGACTCTGTTCCTTTGTAATAATAAGCCTTTACGATTTCTGTTTTCAGTCTCCATGTGGCTGCACGTTCGGAGCGCTCGGATGCACAGCATGTACCTGCAGACATCACGACAGAAACGTCCTCCCCGTCAAGCAAACATGACAGGCGATGACAGTCTCTGCTGGAGCTGATGAATAGTTTATTACCTACCTGCTGTCAGACAGCAAACATCCATCTGCGGTTACACTCGCAACCGACTTCACTTCATTCAAACAAGCTCTGTGTTTTCATGACTCTGAATATTTCAGGCTGTGGATGTTTCCTCTTTCATTATTCACCTTCTGTTTTTTGTTCTCCTCCTCATGTCTTCAGAAGGATGGCACCCCGCTGGTCTGACAGGAGTTTAGTTTTTAACGCCCCGTGTCCACCTGGTGAGTTTTTCAGAGCAGAAAGCGCTGACTGTGCGCTCTGGAGCTCTTGGATGAAGTGTCTGTGCGCTGAGAAGAAAAGCGCTGCAGGTCCGTCTGGTCTCCATGACAACAGTCTGTTGACATCTCTGTTACTTTTTACTGCATGTTTTATATTTGAGATCGTTAATTTCCCGATCAGACACGGAGCGAGGAGGATGAGGGGACAAGACAACAGCGCCTTTCTGGAAAATGAAAGATTTCGAATTTGAGCGCTCGGAGCAGCCCCCACAAAAAAGGTGGAGTGCACGGAAAATAGACGCTAAGTGCTGCGCTTTTTCTCCAGGCGCCCGCTTTCTGCTGCGAACGCTATCTACTCATTGAAAACAACAGAAAAAAGACGCTGGTGCTAAAAAAAAAAAAAAAAATGCAAGATGGACATGCAGCTTAGCATTTTAAAAAATCCACGTTTATTTTGTTTTTTTGAAGATTAAAGATGAGTTCCTCTTCGATTGTTTTATCGTCCCATGTTTGTCATGCTAAGAGAAGGCCTGTCGATAATTAGAGAAGGAAAGCAGAGTCAAACTTTTGTTTTTTTGCTGTTCCTTTTTTTAAAAGTTTGGATTATCGTCAAATTAGCACCCAAAATAATAAAAAATAATAATGACAGCGTGTTGACGGCTTCTAAACATCCCTTAAATAATTTACAGCAGACTCCATGTTTGAGAGTCTGTTGTAGAATCTGGCAAACATTTGTGTGTTTATTCACATGTGTATTTCATTCATCGACCAAATTAAACAATTATTTACGAAATAAATTCGCAAATCTTGAATGAAAAGGAGCAGAAAGAAGAGTATTCTAAAATAATCTGCTCGTCTTTCACGAGACATTTATTCACAAAAGATGTCATAAAAAAGGATTAAAATACACAAACATGAATCAAACAAAAGGGGGGCCAGTAGTGGGTAGTGTGCAGTCTTCAAAGCAGGCAGCCTGGGTTTGAATCCGACCTGTGGCTCCTGTCAGTCTACACGCTCTCTCTCTCTTTCTCTCTTTCTCTCTCTCTATTTCTGAATATATTCACTGTCCTGGTTCCAAAAAAACATGAATAAAATTATCCAGAAACTAAACAGCATGTTTCTATTTGTAAGCTTTTCATAGATTTGAATTGAAATGAAGTGTAACCCTCAGGTTTGTGCCGCTGGTTTGTGTGTGTTTTTTGATGCAGTGCCTCCATCTGCTGGATGACTCGGGTATTACAGCTTCAACTTTGTGTCAGTATTTTTATTTGATCCTTTATGAGTTTGTGTTGCAGGAACAAAGCTGTTCAAATGTTGAACACAAGTAAATTGTTCATATGTAAGTGTAGGTGCCACATAAAGCGAGGTGCTCAGTTTGACTTCTCCCCATGTCACCCCCAGCTGTGTTTTCTCTCTGGCTAGGTCACTGATAAAAATAGCAAACAGGGTTTGGGGATAAAGCGTCACCCTGCCTCACCCCTGAGGGTGTGGGGGAATCACTCAGTGTATATTCGTTTGGCTTGACACATGGCATCAGCAGCTTTTTAGATTGATTGTATGGCTCTGTGACATTTTCCTTGAATTCCTGTTTGAAGAAGCCTGACTGTAAGAAGGTCTCAGAATCAAAAGCCAATAAAGGAAGCAAAGGTTAATCTATTTCCTGAATTATTGTTTTTTAATCACAGTACGTATACTGTATGTACGTGATCAGTAGACCTACAGGCTCTGCTAAATTGTAGGCTATATGAAGCAATCTTTCATTTTAACAACTTTGTATGGGAGAGTTAATGAGCCTACTGTCCAAACTTACATTTGGTGTATACTTTAAATTCTGATTTGTTGGCTACAAGCATGATCGTAATGTTTTAGCATTGAAAAACAAATATGGGCCTAGTCTACTTTGGTCCGAAATGTATTGACCTAACGAACTAAATGACTGATTGATTCCTAGATTTCCCCATTTGAAATAAAACGGCCCAAAAGCTGCAGATAGACAGCTATGTTATTTTTTTTCATATTTGAGACTGTTACTTCAAGAATAGAAATCAAAGGGAACTTTCAAGTGTGGTTTGTTTCACAATTTTCTATCAATTCAGTCATGAAAAGTAAGGTTTATTTGATAGGTCCTAGCCTACTCAAGGAATAACAAAAACAGTTGTTTTATGTTGTCTTTTAAAAAAAATTAAGAGTCACACACACACATACATACAAAATAAATCAAGTGTAAGACTAGCCTATAAGATGTTTAAGTGAAAATACATGTTAAAATGTGGTTATGCTATAATTAAATGTTGTCAATTGTTCGGTGGTTTCAATAAAGTTTTCTCATTCAAAAAGCTATTGGAGGTCTGTTTGAATTACTGCTCCTGTCCTTGTTTCCCCTCGAAACACGGCGTAAAAAAATACTTTAAATATCCATCTATGGCATAAATAAATACTAGTACGCGCAATGAAAGCTGATATAAGTCACTTTTGATTTACAGTCAAAGATAATCTTTAAAGTAATGTAGAGCCACGAGCTAGAAGCCGCTAGATGGAGACTTAACGTCACAGACTAAATCCCGTTTATTGTAAATAATCAGGAGTGAATTCATCTTAAAACACAGAGAATCGTTGAAACAGCGGTTCGTCCTCTGGTGTTTTGACTTTGTTTAGTAAAATGTTACAAAACAATGCGGAAAAAACGGTTGTGTAAATTCAGGTTGTGTAAGTTTTCGTAAAGTTAACCGGAACAAGCTTGACTTTGGGTTTCCGGTTGGTGTGAGTGCAACTTTCAAAACAAGAGTTCAGGATGACATAACTGTGACATTCAACACACATTCCTTTTGCCTTTTTTTTAGTCTTAAGAGAGGATTCATTTATTGAATGTGATTTATGTCCACTCTGTTTCATTATGTAATTAAAATTAGACTACTTTTTAGGAATCAAGAGATTAATGCTGAATATTTAAGAGTTCAGAGGTCACATCAAGACAGATATTTTAAGTGTCAGATATGACAACTATCAACCCCTTTTAAAAGCAAGGAGGGTAGAGGGAGAGGCAGAAAGAAAGAAAGAGATGGAGACAAACAGACAACAATAACAACAACAGTTCATACAGATATATGGCTACAGTGCAGATAATAATGGTTAAAGTAGGAGTACAATTAGCAGGGACAGCACTGTAATGATAATAGAATGACCGTCATAATGCAAACCCTTAGAAATCACAGGTCTTAGAATACAAAATGATGATTAAAGAGTTTTTTCTTTTGCTGCTTTGCTAAAGTGCTCATGATGGATAGGCCGGGTCTTTGTAACATAACAATGAGTAAGGTCTTTTACCTGCTTTTTGTAAAGTGTCTCGAGATAACACTTATTATGAGTTGACGCTATACAAATACAAATTGATTGATTGATTGATTGATTAAAGGGGAGGACTGATTATATAAATTATTAGAAGCAGTTTATTATTATTTATTTATCCCATCACGTAATACACAGTGTGTGTAATTTCAAATAGTATTACGTGTGTATTACGTTATGGGAAGGTGTCCTTGTGTTATTTTTCAGACAGGTCACACTGTCTATTTTATTTTGAAGGCTCCGACCGGAAGTGTTCCGTGTCAGTCTTTACGCCGGTTTCAATCAGGAAAACCTTTCAGCTCAGAGAAACTGCAGAGAAGATGGCGGCGTTACGAGTCGTGGTGCTATCGGGCAGCGGCAGGGCTCTCCTCGGCACATCGAGAACTATCAAGACCCAGACGGTGAGTACGTGGATGAGTGTTTTATTCACCCCGCTGATCATTTTCTTCTTCGTGGCCACAAAGAAGCGGCACCGCGGGACCTCCTAGCACCAAGCTAACGTTAGCCCGGTGTCAGTCAGTGAGGAGGGGAAGCAAGGTCACTCGTGTTCCCACACCTTTTTCAGACGTCTACAACTGCTGTGGCGTTACCTCTTCTGCTAACTCGTCCTCCTCTTAATGAAGAAAACGAATTCACGGCCTTTATGAATAAACACTTTTAAGATATCTCCAACTTGCTGAATGAAGCGCTGCAAAGGAAGCTAGCTGCTAAGCTAACTTACGATGCCGTGTGAACCAGCCGGCAAACTGAGCAGGTCAACACTGTTTACCACCTTTTACTGCCTGCGTGGACACGAGACAATGTGTGTGTGTCCTCGTAGTGATGGTGAATGTTTCGGTCCTGAGCCCAAACCGTGATTTAAGAGTCATTCTGTGGAGAACAACACCTGCTAAAGATGAACAGACGGCTAACCGGTTAGCATTTCAAGGACTGTGAGGACTTCCGGTGACGTCATAAGCTTTTTTTTTATTTTTTTATTGCTTTGCTCTTCTGTTTGATAAATGTTACCTCCAGCTGAGGTCATGACCTTTTTGTTATAACGCTCTGCAACATTATGGAAACTGTACATGTTGCTGTTCTCTGGATGATTTACGAATTCGGTCAATTAAGGTCACAATGTTCATTAACTAGTTACTTATTAACGAGCTAATAGTCATTATTAAGCTCTTATTAGAAGCATATTCTTCATAACTACAGTATATAAGTAATAGGCCATACACCAAGAGATGTCCCTCTTTATTACTGCTTATTGACAGGACGTTAGGAAGTTGTTGAATATGAATTATTATATTAATGTGCTTTGCTTACTTCTACCTTTTTTTTATAAGGGACAAACTAAGCAATGCATATTAAGATCATAATCCAAGGGAGTTCTTGAAAAGTGTCAGATAGAAATGAGTAAGAGAAAGGGAAAGCAGCGAGCTCAAAGTAAAGCGAAAACCGACACGTCTGAGACGGATCATAAGGAGAGGTGAAGTATCACCTGGTGTGCTTGTGTCAAAGACAAGTGAAGGACAATTGCCCCTTATTTTATTTAAGTTAGTTTTGTAAACACACACTACAGTTTTAGCTTGTTGCGTCTTTTTTTTTTTGTAAAGACCTCGTTTTTATTTTAGTCTGCGTTGTTTTGTAGTTTTCAATAATGATAATTACCCTGAGGATTACACTTCCTACAAACAAGCCTAACATTTATTAATGCCGGTGAGCATTGGGCACCCTTCCTAAACGTATCTTCAACACTCAGGTGTGTGTGTACACACTGAAGCAGGGATGCCGTCATGTGACACCCAATGCCTGGTTACAGAACAGTGACGGACAGTTTCATAAGATAAAACCACAGTAAAGGAAGGACATTGTGATAAAATCTAATCCAGTAGGTTTGGGTTTATAATCACGAAAGCACAAAAAAAAAATCATGCTTTCTGTTTTGATGTTCATCAGGTCTTCACTTTGTCATTTTCAAAATATTTGATTCTTTTGTATCTTCAAGTCAAAATGTTTTAAAATTCCATTTTCAAGCCCTCAAAAAAAGTTGACTTTTGTTATCTTCATCATCGCCTACTACCACGACCACACTCTGTTCCTCCTTCTCTTAAGAAATTACTTCTTTGTTTTGTTTTTCTTGGAGTTTTATGTTAAGCGTCAGTCTCATTACTCGTGATCGTTGAGTGATCGGGGGTCTCTAATGGTCACCTTCACTTTGATGTCCAGTAACTCACTGGAACCTCGTGGTCTTCCTCCCCTTTAGGCCAACATGTCGATTGCCAGCCTGTCGAGGAGTAAGAAAGTTGCCCTGTCGACCCTGGGCGTGGTCACAGCCGGCGGGGCGGGTCTCGCTCTGATGCTGCACCAGTCTGTCAAAGCCTCGGACCTGGAGCTCCACCCCCCGAACTACCCATGGAGCCACGCGGGACCTCTGTCGTCGCTGGATCACGCCAGGTGCGATGGACAGACGCGCATTATCCAAATACACTAAAAGTTTTGCAGCCTCAGAGGACTTTTTTTTGTGAATCACAAAGCTTCTGACACACGTTTCATTTTACAGTTTGTAGAGTTTAAACATATAATCCCCCCCTGAATGAAAACCCCTAACGCTTTGTTTCCCCCCGCCTGTACCTGCAGTATTCGCCGTGGGTACCAGGTGTATAAGCAGGTGTGTTCAGCCTGCCACAGTATGGAGTACCTGGCCTTCAGGAACTTGGTGGGAGTGTCGCACACAGAGGCGGAGGTCAAGACCATCGCTGAGGAGGTGGGTTTTGTGTGTGGCTAGCAGGCATTACTGAGTCCTGCCAGTAGATAGTGCCACCCAGCCGTGTCCTCTGTTATTGTCAGGCGTTCTTATAAAGTGAAAGATGATGTTGTCTACAGGTTGAGGTGGTGGATGGTCCTGATGAGAGCGGAGAGATGTTCACCAGGTCAGGGAAGCTCTCGGATTACTTCCCTAAGCCCTACCCGAACCCTGAGGCCGCTAGGGCCGCCAACAACGGAGCCCTGCCTCCTGACCTCAGCTACATCGTCAATGCAAGGTAACAGAAAACAAACAGTAAATGTACACAGTAAAAGTCTGACAACAGTTCTCCTTAAATCTTTGGTGTTGACTTGTTGTGTCTCACTCACTCAGACACGGAGGAGAAGACTACGTGTTCAGCCTGCTGACAGGATACTGCGAACCTCCAGCAGGAGTGGCGGTGAGAGAGGGACTGTACTATAACCCATACTTTGTAGGACAGGCCATCGGCATGGCTCCTCCCATCTACAACGAGGTGCTGGAGTATGATGATGGTGAGTGACTGTGCACTGTGTGTTTGATATGTACCAAATCTGCGTCTGGTGCAGTAAAAACACACTGAGCTGTGCAGACGCGGCTTTCACCTTCAATCCAAATGACGTGTTAAGTGACCATCAGATGTAACTAATCCATTCGGACACGTTTATACGCTGCTGACGCAAGCGGGAGCAACTTGGGGTTAACCCTCGGGCATCAGTTTAATTTACTACCCTCTTAAGTCACTAAGGACAAAAATGTCCATAGTGATGCATGAAGGTTAAGTGTTTGCTCAAGGAAACAGACATGTAATTGCAGGAGCTTGGGATCAAACCCCTGACCTTTTACTACAGGGAGGACTGACTCTACCACTGATCCACAGCTGTGACAAACAGTGTGCTGATTGTTGTTGTTGTTGTTTTTTTTCATAGGAACTCCGGCCACCATGAGTCAGGTTGCTAAAGACGTTTGTACTTTCTTGAGGTGGGCCGCAGAGCCAGAGCACGACCAGCGCAAACGCATGGGACTGAAGGTACGACACAAATACACTTTATTACGACACCTGAGGTTAGGTACGATATTCTTTATTCACAACACATTACTTTGGGGAATTAAAACATTTTCTCATTCTTATTTTAACAAAATTAAGTTTCCAGATGTTTGAAGGAGATGTATTCTGCTGATCAATACTTAAATCCATAAATATAACTTTACAATGTTGGATGGCTATACTAAACCTCAGTTAAGTTTTAAACATAAGTCACACATGTTGTTGGTGTAATCCTCGGGGCGTGGTTTCCTGCTGTTCTAAACGAGACGATACGAGAACTTGGCGATTCACCAGTTGTGAGGTCATTTGGGATTTCAGTTCAGACAGTTGGAATGGGAAAAAAAAAACAGCGTTAATGCTATGAAGATTTGTGAATATTACAAGTTATTTTTGAGCTAAACATTGATGGGCAATACGTGAAAATGTATCCTACCATTGACAAAACATATTTTGTCCCCCTTGTTGATGACTAATATGGCAGCAAGTCGAGCACCTAGTTTTTTCCCCAATGTTTCCAAGTTGTTTTTCTGACTTGAGCAGGCGTCCATGTTCATTTTACAACTCGGAAACTTGTTTTCCCGATTTGTCCAACATCACATGAATGCACCATTTGTTAAATTTCCAGAGCTGGCCAATCAGAGGGGAGGAGGAGGGAGGAGGAGGGAGGAGGAGGGGAGGAGGCATGTGGTGAGGGGGTCTTAAAGAGACAGTAGCTGAAATCAAGCGTTTCAGGCAGAGGATGAAATTAGGCATTTTACTGATGCCAGTCTCAGATAACTAAAGATGTTTTTGAGCTGCACATCTCACAGCACTTCTCAGTCGGTGTCCCAGACTGATATCATTAATGGAGAGCGTGAGGATCATAGATCTCCTTTAATGTTGATGAAACCTTCAGGTCCTGCAAAGCTGCTGTGGTAGAATGCATCATTTTCAGAGTTCTGTTATTGCCCCCCGTGTTCCACTTAAACAAAGAAACATGTCCCACCCCCAAAGGAAGGGTCTCTGGTCTTCACATGACCCCCTTTATGATAAATAAAAGGCAGTCTCAGCACACAAAGACGGTCGGAAAACAAAACAGGCTGTAAACATGAATGTTGCTTTGGAGTTAATTTTTCGGTTGTGGTTTCCTCTGCAGCTGCTGATGGGCTCGGCCATCCTCGTCCCTCTCATCTACTACATGAAGAGACACCGATGGTCCGTGCTGAAGAGCAGGAAGATCGCCTACAAGCCTCCCAAGTAAACGGACACAAACGCACCCCTACCTGGGCCTAAATACTACCGGAGAGGGCTGCGTTCAACGACACCACAACGCTCACCTCACACGGAACAAGCAGACAGAACAACCGACACACACACACTCACACATGCCTTTCTATGAGCGGGTAGAGTAATAAGAGTTTGATGTTTCTTGCTACAGAGAAATGCCTTTATTTTAGTCGTTGGTGTGGTGGAGCGAATCATGTGACAAGGTCAGTCAGAGAGTTGTGGCGTCCTTGAACGCACCCTTCCCAAAAGTTTGTTTTATCTGCTTTGAGTCATCGCCGTTAGCAGTTCCACGTCCTGACATCTGGTATCAGAAACTTTGTCTCAATGATTGATTGGTTACCCATCTTTGTAAAATACTCAATAACCACGTTGGGGAAAGGTTGCCCTCTAAAGTTTATGTAAATCCTCTTTTGTCTTTTCCACGGAGTCACTCGGTGGATGGAACGCAGCCTCTGAACATCTGTTTTACTGTACAAAATAAATTATCTTAAAGGAAACAGTCCTGTGTGGGGGTTTGTTTTGTTCTCACTCATATACACATTTCACCTGTTCCTGCCTAAAGCTGTCCTGTAAATATTCAATAAACCTGTGAATGATTGACTCTTCTTTTGGGGGAGCAGGGTACTTTCTTTTTATTGATTTTCTTCAGATTAAAACAAGAAAGAGGGTGTTACTAAAATAAGGGGTAGGAGTCAAGACCATACAAACTGAGACAGAGACCAGACAGTAGAAATGCTTTCGATTCTGGAGACGAGACACATTCAAAAAGTGGTCTTTAAACTTATTCTGTCTGACCATCTCATCTTGTCATGTAAATATTAAATAAACCTGTTTATGGTCGACTCTTTTTTGAAGTTATAATTCATTCAGCAGCAGACCAGGACTTTAAGAATCCTTTGAAAATGAGGGCAATCATTTTTCTTAAAAGATGTGTAAAGAAAGCCAGTTTTGAGTTTCAGCCAAGTGAGTTTAAATACTTTCCATGATGCTGCTGTCTGGAAATGGATTCATCTTAAGTACTGCTTTAATTATATTTGATTTGGTGTTGCATATTAGTTTTTAAAGTGAAGCCAGCTGACTAAAACATGTATTACTTCTAATGGCCAGCAGGGGGCGATTGTGCAAAAGTCTGCCAGAAAATGAGCCTACTCCTCACCTGATTTATGGTCCATTAATCTGAAGGTTCAAGTCCTCTTCAATACAGCATGATGTTCAGTCAGTCGATGATGATCGAGTAGGGGGCCCCCCTGAGGGCTTACAAACTTAAACCAAAGCAATATGCAAACTTTTTCATCGACAGTAGGAAACCTCCCTCAGTGGGCCCCATCTGACAGCGCTCACTCTTGTGGCCCTGCTAAGCGTCGCGTGCATGACAGCTCGTCAATGAAAGTCAGCAAAGCAAAAAGAAGAGGACGTGTCGGGACACTGCAGTGTTTCAGGTTTGAGGTGCAGCAGCAGTGGTGATGTGGAACAATGCTTTAGTTGTGTGCAATTTTATAAAATTCTGATCATTAAAATAATTACTAACAAAAGAGATCAACCAAAAACCACCCTATTGTCATAACCCGGCACGTGGGTAATGGCAAAAGATGAGAGGAGTCAGAATTTTACCAAAGAAAATGAATAATTTATTTGGAAGCACCTAAAAAAAAATAAAAAATCTGCACCGGTAGTCATATTTCGGTGCACCACAGCTGCTAGGTGCATATAGGGGGAAAACTGCCTTGGTAGCCAGAAGGGTGATGGATGCTGGTTGGTTTGTTTTAAATTTCAGTTTAGTTTTAATTCATTTTTAAAGCTGGTTTGTTACTTTAGTTTTTATTAGGTTCCGATTTGTTGTCTCCGTGTCCTAAATGGTTCATAGTTCATCTAAAGAGGAAGGAAATGCTTTATTCAAAAACATGCAAATCTACTCACTGAATAAAAAATCATGTTCTCCAGAATAGTGAAGCCCTAAGTGTTCATGCATGCTTCGTATACATTTCATTTAACTCGGCTTTACCGCCATAACGAGTACATGTCAGTTGTTTTTCTCGAGATCTCAACTTCTTCATCTCACTCAGGGTTTGTATGTAGTGTTGATGATTCAGTCCTTTGTTGACTTTTGTTAACATTTTAGTTATTTTTGCGTCTTACTAAAATCACTTCATTTTGACTGTGTTAAGGTGTTTTATGTCCCCTCATTGGGTCAATTTGTGGGCTGTTGTTAGCCCCATAATGCTGCCTTAAAGTAACAGCGGCGAAGGCAACAAAAGGACACTGAGGATAAAATTATAAAAAGAATAGGAAATGAGTTAACATGTAAGAAGAAGATAACATTTTAAAGAAATAACGTAAAAACAAGTTTATAAAAGTGAGTTTGAAGGAGTGATTTAAAAGAAGAGACTTGATTCTACCAGATTCTTCTTCTCAGGGCCCTGATGGAGGAAGCTGTTTCTTCCAGTCAGTAGTCCTTGATTACATAAAATCTGTTGAAAAGATGAGTATGAAAGATGTATTTTAACATCTGCAAAACAAATCCCATCCTCGCTGCAGCCTGAACACCCAGAGAAAAAGTCCGATAACGATCTGATGTTAGTCATAGAAAGCGAAGCAGTCTGCTTCCCTGAGTCGTTCTTTAGGTTGACTTTAAATTAACTTCCCTTGTGCCTGTAGCATCACATCGTTACACACATCCTCCCTTTCATTCAGAGTTAAATAAACAAGTGTGCTGTTGGTTTAGAGCGGCTTCAGGCCTTCATTAGCAGATCATCTTATTGTGAAAAGCTTTTTCCTCCCCGCTGCTTCCCCATGCATTCACACGCCACCAGCTTCATCTGCATCACAACACACACAGATTAGCCTAATAGCATTAGCGGGATCTCCCCGGATCATTATGATTGCAATTATTTCTATTATTGTTATTATTATGAGTGTTATTATTAGATTAAAGTCGGTCACAGACCTGCAGCTAGAGGACGCATTTTGAGCGGGAAAAAACTCTGCTGATTTTCTCCTTTGGTAACTCAGAAGAAAAGGGGCTCAGTCAGTCTTTGTTTTTGAGACACTCTGATGACCCCCCCCCCCCCCCCCCCCTTTTCAAAACGCTCCTCGTGCTAATCTCAGATGTGCACGCTAAAATCCTGCAGACACACACGTCCTCACACACACGAGATGTTTGTGTCTCCTGCAAAGTTTGCAAACACTTCTGTTTTGCAGAGTTGATGCAAAAATGAATGAAGTCTACACCCCGACACTCACAGAGCGGAGATTATCCGTTGTATGGAACCTCAGGGAGTCTCTTTCTCATGGAAAAACCACTTCTTCCTTCTAATTGGTGGCTGGTGTAAATCCTCCTCTCTCATTTAAAACCAGCAGGCAGCGGTTTGTCTTCCTGCTGCTTCACATGTTCCTCACACTTCAACATCCGCTTACCTTCTCAGGTCCACACCAGAACTCTAAGACCAGGTTTTAATCAGAGGAAAAATGAATATGTGGTACCTTTTTATTTTATTTTGAAGCCTGAGTATCTTTGAGTTGTTCTCAGGTGTTTTGTCACGCTTGGAGCTTTTTACATCACCGGTGTAGTTTATCAGTCACATGATGGCAGCCTTGCAGGCTCCTGTTAAAGCAGAAAACAGGCCGACGTTTTCCATCGACAGGATTCTTGGACTGGAGCTGGAGAGACCGGAAAACTGCCTGAAACTCCATCGGCCCTGGACAGGTGAGGAGCAACAGCTTTTCAAACTTCTGTGAGAGATAAAAGAGGGAAGGTCTGCTGTGGAAATTAAAAATACACAACAACAATCACTTCTTTGTGATCATGTTTTTACAATAATTTAAACAGCAATCCACTTTAATGTTTAGTGTCCCTTCAGAATAAAAGCGGCGTCATTGAAAATAAGAGAGACAGCTGAGTTATACTCTCCACACTCAGAGGAGTGATGTGAAGGTTTTGCATATCTGTGTAAAAATAAGAGGATTAATTAGCTCATGGAGAGGGAGTACGATTTAATACTGAGGGTGCCATGTGCAGGTAAAAGTCAAGCTAACAATCTGTGCGAGATGTAAAATTTGTGGTGATTCCTTCTTCAGTCAATTCGCTGCATTTGTTTTTTTTAACTTTCAGCTAAAGGGCATGACTTTTCTGGCAGGTTAAATGCTTCTTTAATTCTTGTTTGTGTGAAAAAAGCCTGCAGCAGCTCTAACAAGAATGAGCACATTTTCCTTGCACAACAACCCACAGTAGACTCAAAAAATCACCAATGATGACAGCTTGTAGCTTTCAGGCAAAACTGACATTGTTATCAAAACATCAATCTGAAATCTGATTATATACAGGAATTGTTATGGACGCTTCTGTTGGTAATTGGTCATCTTTATTTAATTATCACTAGTCCATCACTTTTTTTACCACCAGGTTGGATTATTGTATTTCTCTTTTATCAGGCTGCTCTAGTAAGACTACAGAAAATCTGGAACTGAGTCCTTTTTCAAACATACAAAGCTCTGAATGGGCAGGCACCATCGTATGTTAAAGAGCTAATAGTGCCATATTACCCCTCCAGACCATGATGCTCCCAGAAAAGAGTACCTACAGTCTCTAAATGTACTATGAGGGTTAGAACTTTCAGTTATCAGGCCTGTTTGTCTGTTTTGTGCAATCATTTAAATTTGTTTGTATTTTGAAATATTTACCCAACTCTACCTTAAATGGGTTATTTATATTTAACCATTTAATTGTGATTCTGTCCAGTGTTTCTGATATTTTAAAGATGTTTTAATGTTTGATCTGCTCTTCTTATTTTGTCCTCATGACTCCAGAGATCACGGCAGAGAAGGAAAACAGAGGAAACAGTTTGAGCTTGAAACAACAACGACAACAACAACAACAACAACAACAACCACAACCACAACCACAACCACAACAACAACAACAACATCCTCCTCAGCAGACAAGCTCCACCAGACCGACGTCAAACTGGTACGCAGGACGCAGACCACGCACGGCCTTCACCAACAGCCAGGTAATAAAACAAGTGATCTTTTGTCAGTAAGTTAGCTGAGAGTAAAAATAATACTGTGACGTTGGTCTTTTAAAGGAGCAATATGTAACTCTGACCCCTAGTGTTTAAAATGGGTACTGCAGTCAAAATTCTAAACATTGTAGAGAGCTGTCCCCGCCCGCCCCCTCCTCTCTAGAATCGATGCTCACGCAGGTTAACCATGTGGTGGACACTGAAGCTTCAGTGTTTAGCCAGCTCTGCATCGGTCTGTAAACCTTTCTGTGTTCTAACCTCTCTCCATTTTTCAAAAAGCATCTCCAATATTGATCCTAGTTTGAGCACGTTTCTGCTCGTGGAGCTTATTAGAAACATGCAGAGGCTTTTTAGGTCGGGTACAATCACTTCTATCTGAACCAGTTCTCTCACCCGCTTCCATCGCTGCAACACCTGCTGGTTTGACCTGATAACTGCTCTCATATCTGGCAAACCGAGGGGCGTCCTAAACGGCCGTGTGGGGTTGCCTTAAAAGCGCCTACCTTCTCTGGTCCAAACATATCCAGAGCATTCTGGACCAGAATGTTTCCTTAATGTCTGATCATATAGTAAGGTCACTTTATCACTTCACTCATTACATATCTCACTGATTGGTCCCTTTAATCTATATTTGTCCGTGTTTGTCCTGTAGGTGAAAGTACTGGAGTCGGTGTTTCAGATGAACTGTTATCCAGGGATTCAGCTGAGGGAGCAGCTGGCTGAGAGGCTGGACCTGGACGAGGACAGAATACAGGTTCAGACAACAAAAAGCACTCGTTGGGAAAAAACCTGTCCTTGAGTTAGATATAAGGCGGTGTTGTTCTCTGATTTTAGCTCTTCTGCCATTCTCTCTGACCGTTTCTCTCTCTCTCTCTCTCTCTGTCTTTCTTTCTCTTAGATTTGGTTTCAGAACCGGCGGGCGAAGCTGAGGCGTTCCTTCAGAGAGTCTCGTCTGCAGCTGGTTCAGACGGCTGTGGCCGACCTGCAAGTCGGACATGACATCACAGGTCAACTGAAAAAGGATGAGCGAGCTGAACACGACCTGGCCTCTCGTCTTCAGCTCGTGGTCGAGGAAGAGAAGGAGAGATGATGACTGTTTCTAATATTAAGATGGACTGTTTGCTTTTAAATGCAGCCCTACCATGTGTTTTTGAGGTTCACTGCAAATGTAACGCTCTGACTCACTATTGTGAGTTGTACTCTCGGGTAGGATGGAGGGCTCTGGCGCCCCTAACTCATACACTGGTACACCCCCATCCATCCAACCAACCCTCCATCCATCCATCCATCCAAACCTCTATCCATCCATCCATCCATCCATTCAATTTATCCATCCATCCATCCAATTTATCCATTCAGCCATCCAACCCTCCAGCTCCTCCTGGGGGACCCCAAGGCATTCCCGACAGAAATTGGGAAAAGGCTTTTGGTATTCTGCGCCCTCAGCCTGGAATCTGTTGCAGAAGGACTTGAAACTCAAGGAGCTGGTGTCCTTTCCATGTTTATAAATCTAAAATGAAAGACTTGGAAGCAGATTCTACAGGATGTCAATGATTTCAGCCTGCCTGGCTGTACAGCTGACCTTCCAGGAAGTTATTTTTCGGACTCATAGACAATTCTCTTTTAATGCATGTTTCCATTTTTGTAAATTGAACTTTGTGTCTCTTTGTGTTGTTGCTGCTGGCTGTTTCGGCCAGATCTCCTTTTAAAGAAAGAGGTTCTTAATCTCAATGCGACTGACCTGCTTAAATAAAGGTGAAATAAAATAAAATAAATTAATAAATTCACCCGTTTCTACAAGCTTCTAAATCTGGCCAACAAGCCTAACCCGCCTACCTTTGCAGGTTCCTCATTGGCTGATATCTATGTGGATGTATTTGGGTATTTTTGGATTTATTTTTACATGATCCTCAGTTTCTTACCTCCTCTATTTAAATGTTGTGTGCAATGCGTTTCATGATTTCCCTGATGAAGGCCACAAGCCGAAACACGTCACTCTAATTTGTTAATAAAGTGGATCTTCATAGTACAAGTGTTGCTGGAGCTTTTTGACCTCTTCTGTCACCCTTCATGCACCTTGTTAGTTGGTGAAGTTGTGCTGGATATGGTCACATGACCAACCATCACAAATACAGATTATTCAGAGTCAGACATAATATTGTGTTGCAGGAATATTTTCCTGCACTATCTCAGTTTTACATTTGTATCCTTGTATTTGGATGGAAATCAGTTTTTCTCTGGGTGTGATTACACAAAACTCAAAGACACAAATGGAACATGGATTTTTCACAAACATTTTATTCGTGCACACGGTTCAACAAATGAAACAAAAACATGCAAATTACCAAAGTCAAGCCTGCAAGCTGTTAGGTCTGTTATTGCTTCTTTTTTTTTAGCCACAAGGGCTCACGTTTACACCGGCTCAGCAGGACTGAGGACTTCTAAATATAGAAACATTGTCGACATGATCTAAAAATGTGCAGAAACAAGCTCGTGTAGAGAATAAGTACACAGCTTTTATTGTTGCAAGGAAACTGGTGCAGGCTCATCATGATCCTATTACTCACTCACAGAGAAAGGTGAGAGTGTGTGTGTGTGTGTGTGTGTGTGTGTGTGTGTGTGTGTGTGTGTGTGTGTGTGTGTGTGTGTGTGTTCACTCCTCCACTATCACTTTATATCAGGTTAATCTGCATTCTTGTGTTCAGTAATCTTTACCTACAGACATGACTTTCTAACGTAGGGTCATACCGAGAGTCTCTAAATGTACTATGGGAGGTAGAGCCTTTAGTTATCAGGCCTGCTCGTGGTACCTACAGTCTCTAAATGTACTATGGGAGGTAGAACTTTCAGTTATCAGGCCTGCTCGTGGTACCTATGGTCGACATCATTAAATCAAAAGTGAATCTTAGATATGCAACTATTAATATCAGCTTTTCATCTATTCTATCCCAATTACATCATCATTACAATAACGTTAATATTAGACTGATCAGGTTATTATCACAGCTGGTAAATGATGTGACAGACAGCTGGACAAAGGTCGATGGCAGGTGATGATAGAGAAAGAAAAATGTTTTCTACTAACAGTGACGGAGATCGGTGGGTCAAGCAGCACAACGTCGACCTCTCCCAGGTATGGGTGGTCTGGCTTCTCTTTGTCTTTAACCAGGACTGAGATCTTCATGATGTCACACTCTAACATGGGCTTAGAGTAGACTGAGAACGGGACCACGATCGGCATTGTCAGAGCTACAAGAGAGAAAATAATGTAAGACGTCAGACCAATTTGAGATCCCGGTCTTTCACTTTCTGCCTGTCTAATCAAAATCTCTGTCCTGTCCGCAAAAGAAGATTCACCTTTTCCTGGCAGCAGTGTCTTTTCCCACTCCTCATCCTGAATGTATCCAGCTAGGTGTCCGGTGTAGTTCATGGCTTGAACGGCGATGTTGATGATCAGCGGCCTGTCAGCAGTACTTTCACTGCTCAGCACCAATTTCTGGCTCACAGCCTTACCGTTAATCGGCTTTGACACCTAAAACAAAGAGAAATTTGAGACAAAGAAGGTTTTATTTGAGTCACATATCCCACAACGCCCATTCATTGTGACCCAGAACTGTAAGGAACATTTCCTTATAAACCAAAGTTTGTGAGAGAAATTTCAAATGCATAGTGTCATACAGTTCGTAGAAAATTGGGACGATTTGAGATCTACATTTTCTTATCTCATCCAAACCAGCGATACCATACCATTTCATGAATTACACCAAAGGTCAACAAATGGCATACCCCGGTACGAATCCGGACTAAGATGCCATGCTGCCCAGACCCAGACTTATTTGATGTGCACTTCTATTTTAACAGTGCAGCCTTTGCTGCTTTTATGGTAGTCTGAAAAAAGCCATTATTGTCCCTGTACCGAAGAATGCCTCTCCAGCTTGCCTTAATGACTATCGCCCAGTAGCATACCTTATTGGAAGAAGAAAGGCTGAAGGTATTTCTGTTATGTTGGGGGTTGGTTAGTACTGACACACCAACAGGAAGATCCAGCGTATATAAAAACTGGTACGGTTTAACCCCTGTGGGGATCTGGCAGACTGCTCAGGTATATTTAGTTTTGTTTAATGAAGGTGTGGTGTGAACATATCTTCATGCCAAACTGCCATGGGACCTGGCACCACTGAGCTGATTATTTGTTGGAAAAAGCAAGCTCACATAATGAATGTATTCCTTGCATGACTATAAGTTTCAGTAATGAGTATAAACTATAATAAAAAATGAATCAAATTAACTCTTTTCATGCTTCTTTTGGAGCATTGACTTCAAACCTGGGCTCCTGGACGCCCTTGGGAAGGCGCCGAAGAATTTATGATACAATGATAAATGGACTTGAGCTTACACCGCCAGACTCGACAAAGCATACAGGTCTAAGTGTCTTGCCCAAGGACATATCGACATGTGGCTGCAGAAGCATGGGCTCAAACCCCCGACCTTCCAGTTGAGAGGTGGCCGACCCTACCAACTGAGCAACAGCTGCCCACAAGTCATCTGTGGTATTGGTTTGTCCAGGACTGGTAGCAAGCCCTAAAGCCTACCCTTCTTTTATCATCTAATTTATTCTAAATTGGACCATAATTTAACAAATGAACATCATGCTGTGTTGAGGAAGACTTTAAACAGCAGTGTTAGGAAAATGTTAACCCAGTTATAAATCAACTGTAAAGTAGGATCATTATCTGGTAGGTTAGGTAGAAAGGTAGGAATCTCCCCCTGCTGGACATGGGACAGAATGCGTCCTTGAGGCACCTCTCTATCATCTACATACATGTCACATACAGTCTCAAACAAAACTTTCAGCACGTCAATAAAACTCTTCACCACAACAGAAAACACTGTGACTCTTTATTGGAAGAAGAAAGGCTGAAGGCGGTGTGTTTAGTTAGCAAGTACTGACACACCAACAGGAAGATCCAACCTACAAAAACTGATACAGTTTAACCCCTGTCTGGATCTGGCAGACTGCTCAGGTATAATTAGTTTTGTTTGATGAAGGTGTGGTGTGAACAAATCTTCATGCCAAACTGAGACCTGGCACCACTGAGCTGATTATTCGTTGGACAAAGCAAGCTCACACAATGAATGTATTCCTTGCATGACTATAAGTTTCAGTAATGAGTATAAACTATAATAAAAAATGAATCAAATTAACTCTTTTCATGCTTCTTTTGGAGCATTGACTTCAAACCTGGGCTCCTGGACGCCCTTGGGAAGGCGCCGAAGAATTTATGATACAATGATAAATGGACTTGAGCTTACACCGCCAGACTCGACAAAGCATACAGGTCTAAGTGTCTTGCCCAAGGACACATCGACATGTGGCTGCAGAAGCATGGGCTCAAACCCCCGACCTTCCAGTTGAGAGGTGACCGACCCTACCAACTGAGCAACAGCCGCCCACAAGTCATCTGTGGTATTGGTTTGTCCAGGACTGGTAGCAAGCCCTAAAGCCTACCCTTCTTTTATCATCTAATTTATTCTAAATTGGACCATAATTTACCAAATGAACATCATGCTGTGTTGAGGAAGACTTTAAACAGCAGTGTTAGGAAAATGTTAACCCAGTTATAAATCAACTGTAAAGTAGGATCATTATCTGGTAGGTTAGGTAGAAAGGTAGGAATCTCCCCCTGCTGGACATGGGACAGAATGCGTCCTTGAGGCACCTCTCTATCATCTACATACATGTCACATACAGTCTCAAACAAAACTTTCAGCACGTCAATAAAACTCTTCACCACAACAGAAAACACTGTGACTCTTTATTGGAAGAAGAAAGGCTGAAGGCGATGGATTTGATTAGCAAGTGCTGACACACCAACAGGAAGATCCAACCTACAAAAACTGATACAGTTTAACCCCTGTGGGGATCTGGCAGACTGCTCAGGTATATTTAGTTTTGTTTAATGAAGGTGTGGTGTGAACAAATCTTCATGCCAAACTGAGACCTGGCACCACTGAGCTGATTATTCGTTGGACAAAGCAAGCTCACACAATGAATGTATTCCTTGCATAACTATAAGTTTCAGTAATGAGTATAAACTATAATAAAAAATGAATCAAATTAACTCTTTTCATGCTTCTTTTGGAGCACTGACTTCAAACCTGGGGTCCTGGACGCCCTTGGGAAGGCACCAAAGAACTTATGATACAATGATAAATGGACTTGAGTATATTTATTTTCGAGTCTTCTGACTACTCAAAGCGCTTTTACACCG